ACTGTCGCCACGCTGAGTACCAGCGTCTTGTCGTCGAGTTTCCTCGACGACATTAGAAGGGTATGCGCACAAGATAATGATCTTGTACGCCTGGTGGAGTACCTCAAGGACCCATCCACGCAAGCTAAGAAGCGCTTGCCTGCCATGTATCGATCTTCTCTCGATCGATATACCCAGCGGGACGGCTTACTGTACTACACAGCCGTCAACAACGACACGCCTCGTGTCGTTGTACCGCCACAACATGATCTCAGGTTGCGGATCATGTTTGAATGTCACGATGCACCAATAAGTGGGCATCGCGGCCGTGAGAAAACTTACCTCACGGTCAGTCGCGACTTTTACTGGCCACGCCAGTATAAGTTTGTGCGCAAGTACGTGCGTGCTTGCGAGGTGTGTCAACGAGTGAAGCCTAGTACTTCACTCCGTGCACCATTGCAGCCTCTACCTGTTCCGGCAGAGTGCTGGGAGTCCGTATTAATGGACTTCGTCTTTGGATTTCCCAAAGACGCTCACGGGAATAATGGTATTCTCGTGTTTTTAGACAGGTTCAGCAAGATGGTGCATCTTGTTGCTGTACCTGAGTCGATCACAGCAGAGGGCTGTGCTCGAGTGTTTATCGATACAATCTTTCGATTGCACGGTTTACCCCGTGAACTTGTGTCCTATAGGGACCCCCGGTTCACGGCTGAGTTTTGGCGTTCCGTGTTCCAAACACTTGGAACACGGCTCACAATGTCTACTTCTGACCATCCAGAAACCGATGGTCAGACTGAACGCGCCAATCGCGTCCTCGAAGAGATTCTTCGAGGGTACGTCCACTCGTTTACGAGTTGGAGTGAGTTCTTGTCGATGGTCGAATTCGCCATCAACAACTCCGTGCATGCGTCTACGACGCATACACCGTTCTACGTGAATGGCCTTCGCCATCCACGTGTCCCCACCTTAGTAGAAGGTGACTCTAATTCAAGGGGGAAGAACTCGCTCGAGCGAGAACCAATCTGGCTCTTGCTCATCACGCGACGACGTTATGGTCGACGCGAAAGTAACCGAAGTCGTACCATTCGACTTCGGTGAAGAGGAAGAAAGTAAGAGCGATGACGCTCTTACTGACAACGATGCTGAAGATATCAGCATCGTCCGAGGTATCACAAGTGAGAACAGTAATGTTCTCACTGAATTAGTAGCCGATATCTCTGCAGTGCATTCACAATGCACTGCAGCCAAAAGCAACGAGTCAGCTGAGGATTTCCTGCTGACTCGTGAAGCGGTAGTCCGTTTCGTGCAAGACTCCATCGCAGAAGCGGTGGATAAGCAAAAGCGAAACGCAGACAATAATGGAAGGGCAAATGCTCAAACATTTATTGAAGGTGATTTAGTTTTACTGTCAACAGTAAACCTACCTAAACATGTAGTGACTAACGTGGCAGCAATAAATTGTTGCCCAAGTACATCGGCCCATTTCGTGTATTGCGCCGCCTAGGCAACGCATACACGATCGAGTTGCCACGCAGGATGCGTACGCATCCTACGTTTTACGTGGGACGTCTTCGTCCGTACGTTCAGTACGCGGCTTCTTCGAACGACGAAGATAGCCATTACTCTCAAGAATCCCCTTCAGATTCTTGTTGTCACGAACCAGATTCGATATCTGGTCGTGTAGAGAAGAGATCTTCCCATGATATTGGACGATCTCCTGACGAGCTGTCGCCAGCTCGTTACTCAGAGAATGAAGTCGCCGCTCATCCTCAAATAGTGCGACAGCATTGTTCGCCCGAGACCTCTCATGGTCAAACCCAAGCTGTCGCACAATGTCCTCTAAGCGGCGACGCTTATCCCGTTCGTGATCAACATCACAACGGAGCTCACGAGTTACACGGGCAAACCCGTCTAACTCTGCAGCCAAGTCCGATGAAAGAATCGGACAGGGTTTTCCCTCCACCACCGCATCCGCTGGTGGACTCCCATGGTGGGAAGCGCTTCCTCGTGGAACGCTTACTAAAGCACCGCGAGGTGAAGGGACGTCGGACGAGTTATCTCGTCCGGTGGCGTGGCTATCCGCCTTCGGCGGATAGCTGGGAACCTCGGGCCCAACTGATGGCCGACGTTCCCGGCCTTGTCGAACAGTACGACAAGGGGCACCCGATGGTGAAGGACCATCGGAAAACGAGCGCCCAGCGCGTTCGTAAAGGGATTGCAAAGTAGCAATCCCTTCACGCATCTCAGAAGAGATGCGAGCCCTCCACCACGGCTCAGTAAGGAGGTACGCCTCCTTAGGCGCTCTTGACGAGGTGCTCAGGCACCCCGGGTATGGGTCGCCCCAAGAGAGGCATAACAGGCCTGCCTCTCTAGATAACCGGTGCACGATAGCATGCACCGGAAGTACTTCGTTTCTCAAACTTATTGCGGCTAGCATAAGACCTTTGAAACCAAGCCTCTTTCCCAACGTTTAAAACGTTGGTGATAAACGCGTTCCAAGATTGGAGGAACGCGTCAGCCTCACGCTTCTTGTGTGGGCCATACCATCGATGTTCAAGGAACACATCGATGTAATAATCGTTCTCAGTGCGAAAGTTCTTCGCACTGGCGTCAAGGTCGTGAAGCTTTGACGCATCAAACAACGGTATGGAGAACCGTTCGTTGGTCTTTCCAGACCAACGATCAAGCAGATGCTTAGGTAGCATCCATGGCTTGCGATCAGGAGCAAGACGCAATACGTTGCGGTCTAAAGCCTTCTGCGTGGTGTCAACAGAAGTACCGACACCACGAGCATTAGTGTCAACAGAAGTACCGACACTATGAGCATTGATGTCAGTAGAAGCACTGACATCACCCTTACGGCCCCCACCCGAGTCACTATTCTTCGACTCGTTTGGCGAGTCGTCTGATTCATCAGACGACCCGAACATTTCACGGTACATTGATTCACTCAATGTACCACGATCCCTCTTCGTAGCATTAGACGACGAGGTATCACCCCGGGGAAAGCCCAGGAGTGGAATAGGTAACTTTGAGCCAGATGCGTGATCCGACTCACCAGAGTAGTCAACGACTAACTCTGGGTCAACATCTTCACGTGGCGAAGCGCTACGTGAACCTGCAACAGGCGTTGCAGGCTGATGTTGACTTCCAGAAGACACATTAGTGTCTGCTGGCTGAGGCTGTGAAGCCTCAGTAGCGGCTGCACACAGGCGTGCAGCCGAGCTCTTGGCTGCCTTAGCAGCGACGCGCATTGACTTTGTCATAGCGTAATTGTTAAATGAAAGAAAATTCAACAAGTTCTCCTTTCCCATAGTCACTAAACAGTCACTAATGTGATTGTTGGTTGGGGGGGTGATGTAACGGGGTGAGCTCGTTACATAATATTGACACTTATATGAAGTGTCAATAAAATATTATTATAATATTTTGACAATATTACCTTTTCTTATAATATTGTTCCTAGATCTCCTTGAAGTTGGAGATGCCCTCTTATTGGTTGATATGGGCCATCATATCAACCAACGCGCTGACCAATGACCGATGGACGCGCGCAATGAGTGGAGGGCAAGTTGTCGACATACATAGTTGTAGTTTAATATAGTTAACATAGGTTATAACAGATTAGTTTTATTAAGATACTTAACTATATTAAATACAGTTTTCTTTCCCCCTACTTCTAAGCGTTTGTTTAGAAGTAAAGCTTCCTCTGCCTCTTGTGTAAGAGAGGTAATTGAGGCACCTGCTTTCACTGTAATCAGTGAAAGTAGGCTATACTGTAATCAGTATAGTCGGAGGGTGCCCCGTTACATGCTCCGTGCTCGATATATCCCGGTCCACAAGCCGCTTCTAAAGTTCTCTTGCGACCTTCATTTGGGCTTTTTGCAACGCACCCATACCGAAACTACCTTTGACATGTGGTTTAAGTAGGTTTTCTCGTCTAAAGTACAAGAAAAAAAACTAATTTTATGAAGTTATATTGCCCTGCCTGACTATAACTTAAAACTTATAACTTAGCGACCATTGAACGAGCTCGGTGGACACAAAATTTGATAACCTACCGCAGGTTATATATAACTTATTGGAGGACAACTTATTGGAGGGAGGTCTGTATTCAGTCTTTTATTGATTGGCGGACGTTATCTGCGTGACTGCAGCCGACTTTGGACAAGAAGATTGAAAAGGGCCCTTCGAGACTAGTGGGTTACTCACTCCATTCAGCTGGACTGACCAGACGATTTCAGTTTGCAGGCTACGCTGACCACTTACGGCGAAAACAGGGACGAGCTCGTAAGAATTTAGAAGCTGTAAAAATCCTGTAAAGGGTTAAATTTTGACTTTCACAGGTGACTTTGTTATACCTCAGTCGTGCAAAAGTAAAGATCGACACTATGGAATAATGCTCGTAGTGCAAGAATAAAAGAGGAAGCTACTTAAACACTTTTATTTGTGTGCGGACATAATAACATACCGCGTTTGCTGGTGCTTCTATTGTAAATATAGGCTGGTATGTCTTCCCTACTGTTCGCGGGTATTAGCGCCAGCTGCTCTCATCATATCGCTTCCACCACCTGGTATTTTACACCGAGCCCCATTCATTTTGCAGCCATTTTGTCGGGTTACAAAATATGAATCAAAACCCTTTAAAATCCAATACAATCTGATACGTTTTAGCGTGTGGAACCTATTGATATCATAGTGTGAGAAAGAGCCAGTCGTGGTGAAAATGAGCTTAATTTTTACTCGTCTAAGTACGATTTAGAACGATTCTGACAGTGATTTTGTCAGTACACATTGCTATTTCGCTGTTTAATTTGTATCACCTTTACAATGGTCGCTAAATGCGGGTAGAAGAAACCCAGTTCACAATAATAAAAACCGCCCTCGACTAAAAAGTGCTGGCACTCTCGATTTCCTACTCGTTGTGCCTAAGTAGTAATTGCTTTCCAGCCACACGCGTCATCAGCGTATCAGTCTTTATCGAAGAAAAGAAGTAAACCTTTTTCTGTAACGACTTTAATATGGAGAAGGGCGTAGGCGTATGGCTCCGTGATGTAGAGACAGATGAGTGGCATCGCGCGACGGTCGTCAAACTTGGTGAGCCACAAAGCGACTCGGGCAAGCGGGAGGTGACGCTTTGTATGAATGAGGGACCGCATGCAAGGACAGAGAAGACAATACCGATTGATGTGACGGCGCTTGAAGAAGAGAAAGTAAACGGTGTACTACTTGCTAACAGTAGTGACATGGTGAGTGCAGGAATGATGGTCGTACATGCATTTTTGGATTAAAATTGACGATTTTTTGTTGTTGTTTGGACGGATATTAGGACGTTGTTGAAGATTTAATCCAGTTGCCTCATCTTCATGAACCAGGAATTTGTCACACACTGAGCGAGCGTTTCAAGATTAATGAGATTTATACGCTCACGGGTGAGATTCTGTTGGCTATTAACCCCTTTCAGAATCTCGGTATCTACACTGACAAGATTATGCGCAAGTATGTCCGTAATGGAGATAAGCGTGCACTCGGACAAGAAGTGCCTGATATGCCGCCACACGTCTATAGCATTGCGGATAAGGCTTACCGCTCGTTGATGAATCCAATTGGACACAGTGCGCATGGAGGTGCTGCTAACCAATCAATTTTGGTCAGCGGTGAAAGTGGTGCTGGTAAGACGGAAACTACCAAGTTTGTGATGAATTATTTGGCAACCATCTCGCAGCATAAAGATACATCCGCGGACAGCAACGTCATGCAGCAGGTGTTGTCGTCGAATCCAATTTTGGAATCGTTTGGCAACGCGCGTACTATTCGCAATGACAATAGTAGTCGTTTTGGAAAATTTATAAAGATGGAGTTCTCGCTAGAAGGAAGCCTCATTGGCGCTTCGATCCAGACGTATCTACTGGAGAAGGTGCGACTTTCTTACCAGGCTGAGTCGGAGCGTAATTATCACATTTTTTACGAGATCATTGCTGGTGCGACCGAAGAGGAAAAGAAACGCTGGAATCTGAAGACACCGACCAAATACCGCTACTTGAATCAGAGCACTTGCGTCAAGCGAAAGGATGGTGTGAACGACGCGGAACAGTTTGGCGTTTTGAAGACCGCCATGCAGACGATGGGCTTCGATAACGACGACATGGAGAGCATCTTCGTCACCATATCAGCTCTGTTGCACATTGGAAATCTAGAGTTTGACGAGACACACCAGGCTTCAGGTACTGAGGGATCCGAGATTTCTAACATGTGCGAAGACTCGATGAAGATGGTGCTTGACTACCTGGAAGTCGACAAGCAGGGGCTTGAGCAGGCTATTTGCAACCGCAACATTCAAACGAAGGACGAACACTACTCTATTGGCTTGCTACCGGACGCCGCTGAAAATGCTCGTGACGCTCTTGCGCGATTTCTTTACGGAAAGCTTTTTGACTGGCTCGTCAGCCGTATTAACGAAATTGTGGAAAACGAAAGCCGAGATATTCCGTTTATAGGCCTGTTGGATATCTTTGGTTTTGAGGATTTGGAGCACAACTCTTTTGAGCAACTATGCATTAATTACGCCAACGAAACTCTGCAGCAGCACTTTAACCTAACTGTGTTGCGCATGGAACAGGAGACGTACGAGAAGGAGAAAATTGAGTGGAGCTTTATTGACTTTCCGGACAATGGTCCATGCATTGACCTGATTCATGGTAAGCCGTACGGTATTCTTCCGGCTCTTGATGAAGAGTGCATTGTTCCGCAGGGTAATGACCAGAACTTTTCACGAAAGCTTTACCGTCAACACGAGTTAAACCCACACTTCAGCTCGAGCAAGACAGAGATGGCTAACCATCTCTTCGTCGTGCATCATTACGCTGGTGCAGTCACGTACGATACGTTTGGATTTTGTGAGAAGAACAAGGACATTTTGTACCCTGAGATAACTGCTATCATCAAGAGATCGTCGAAGCCATTTGTGCGCGGACTGTTGCAGGTTTCAGTTGAGAAAAAGCCGTTCTCTAAAAAGTCAAAGGGCAGAGCCTCGAGTATCGCTGCTCGCGTGAGCTTGGGTTTGCAGTTCCGAAATCAGCTAAAGAATCTGCTGGAAACTATCAATGTCACTGACTGCCACTACGTGCGCTGTCTAAAGCCCAACGATAAGGCCAAGGCCAACCTGCTGATGCCGAAGCGTGTGTGTGACCAACTGAAGGCTGGCGGTGTTTTGGAAGCTGTACGCGTCAACCGTGCTGGCTACCCGGTTCGTATTGCCCACTTGCAGTTCATTAAGCGCTACCGCCCGTTGGCGAATGGCGAATATTTGCAGCGCATTCCTGCTGCAGCAGCTGAAGAAGACTTTGATAGCACTGAACGCAAGAACGCCGCAAGCTTGTTGGTAGAGTTCTTGCTAAAGGCACATGCCGATCGGTATCCGGAGCTGGCAGGTGTGGCGTCGGATACCCAACAGGCGAATGTTGCTGGCATCCAAGTTGGGCTTACTCGTGTTTTCTTTCGCCGCTCGGCCATTCAGTTCGTGGAGGCACAGTTAGCCAAACGCTATGGTGAGTTTGTGGTACTTATCCAAGCTGCTGTCCGCGGCCTGATTGCTCGTCGCCACTACGCTCGAATGCAGGTGTCGGCTGTTGTCCTGCAGAAGGCGATTCGTGGTTTTATCACGCGATGCCGATTCTACGTGCTGCGCGAACGCCGCCGAGCGAAACAGGCCGAACTATTGCGTCAAAAGCAGCTCGCTGATAAAAAGCAGCTCGAGGAGGAGCGGCGTACTGCTGAAGAACAGCGTATCATGGATGAGAAGCGCAAGACTGCTGAGCTTGAGGAGCAGAATCGCCTTACTGCTCAGTCTGCGTCATCTGACCCAGTGTCGGATGACTCGTCGGACGGTGACCGTGGTTCATCCGTGAAGCTCACAGATTTGAACGAGGAAGCTGGTAACCGTGCAGTATCCCGCTTCCGCTTCACCAAGGAATATGGTGATGACGACTATTCAATGTTAAACTCCTCCCGCCAGGTTGCAATGGACCCGGGTGACACTGTGCTGCACGTGGCTGCCAATTGTTGCAATGAGCAAGATGTGCTAAAGCTGCTTCAGAACGGTTCTGACATCAACGCTCGCAATCGCCGAGGTCGTACCCCACTACACACGGCGTCCCTTTACCAGAACGTTGAGGTTGTTGGCATTCTCCTGGACTGGGAGGTCGACGTTCTTGTTCAAGACGATGATGGCAACACGCCACTGCATTTGACCAAGGAGCCGCGCATTGCCCGAATGCTGCTGGAAGCTGGCTGCACGCCTAACATTGTGAACGCTGATGGCCGAACTGCCCTGATCAATGCTGTGGACCGCGGTGATGCCAAGACGGTGAAATTGCTGCTGCACTTTAAGGCTGACGTGTTATTCCGAGAGTTGAAGCATCACCAGACAGCTTTACACTTGGCTGTCCGTAAGGGCCAGTACCAGATCGTTATGGAGCTGTGCAAGTCCGATGATATTCAAGATTTAATTCTTTTGACAGATCGCAACGAGAACAATGCGCTTCATTTTGCTGTGTCTCGAGATCGCAAGAATGGATACCGCCTTGTCGATTACTTGATCAAGCACGGCGGTGAAGTTGACAAGGTGAATGCGCGATTCCAGACTCCGTTGGTGGTTCACATTATGACCACTCGCCAAACCGATCCTGCGATTACGGAACTATTCCTTGCAAGAGGAGCCGACCCGAACATTCAGCTGGCCGATGGATCTACGCTGCTGCACGTTGCCGTCGAGCGTGAACTGATTGATATTGGTTGTTCACTAATTAAGCATGGTGCATCGCTGAATGCACCTGATGCTAAGGGACGAATGGTGATCGAAGTGGCAAATAAAAAGTTTCTGAAAAAACTATTTAGCGCAATTTCACAGCCACCTACGTGGATTGACGAAAAGGAGCGACGGTCGTGCATGCTGTGTGGATCAAACTTTAAGTTTGGCAACCGACGTCACCACTGCCGACACTGTGGACGAGTATGCTGTTCTGATTGCTCAGCGTTCACTGTGGAGATGCATCGGTTTCCGAAGGAATTTCCTGGGCGTATGACTAATGGTGGCAAGCAAGTGAAGGACCCACAGCGCGTGTGTCGGACGTGCCATGCCGTGTTTAAGATGCGAACAGCTCAGAAGGAATCCACATCGGGTTTTATGGCACGCGTGCTCGGGTACGAGTGGGACGAGATAAGTACTTCTAATTGAGCATCATCTTGTACTGGGAGCACTAGCGAGAAGAAAGGAAGACGTCAGTGTATGCAAATGGCGAGCTGAAAATTACCACCAATGAGGCATATGTACGTTTTCCATTACCTATCTATCTAGCTGTAATAATTGCGAGTAGCACGAAAAAAATGCATGATTCGTTTGCACTTTTCTGCTACTACTTGTTTCCGCCGTTCTACAAGCTCTTTAGCAGTTATGAAACTTAATACTTTTTATTGCAATATTTCAATTGCATGCTAAGGAATTATTATTTAATATCCAAAATCTCGATCCCCCAAGTCAGAAATATCACTAATTCAGTCGTTTTTTAAGAATAAATGGATGTGGTACACATTACACATTACGTAGCCACAAATTTACAAAAGTGATGCAGCGAGTTGGACGAAAAGTAGCTGAGATTGCGCTGGCTGCCAGTGGTTACAGGCATGTGGCTATAAATGAACAATCGCTCTTGACATATCAGCGATGTAAGCTATTTGGTGGTCGTGCGTTTAGCTCTGCAGTGAAGAGGAAAGAGGTGGGTCTGCTGCTTTTTATGAACGAGTGAAATGTTTATTAAAATCTGTTTTCCAATTGAATTTTTTAGGCGTTTCAAGCCTTTGAAAAGGCTAAAAAGCTACTGGATGGCGATGATATGCAACAGGCTATGGGACTCTTAGGGGTTGCAGCACATGCCAACATTGCAGACGCCCAGTATCTACTGGGCTCGTTGTTACTGTCCGAAAAGGAGGAAGAAGACGAGACAGAAGAGGAAAAAGAGGCACAATGCAAGAACAAGGAGCTACTACGTGATGCAGAGGCTAATCGACAGCAATTGAGACGTCCTGATGAGGCCATGAACATTAAAGAGATTCGAAAGAGTGCGCGTGCTGCTTACAAACAATATCTGATGGAACAGAAGCACAAACAACGAGCCAAGGCGGCGCGATCGGATGGTGATGTTATGGTGGTACAGCACGTTACGACTGCGAAGCTAGATCGAGCGTTTGGTAGAACAATGGAGCTTCTGTTGGACCCCAAGTCGAAGCTGGAGCCGCTCAACGAAGACCACGTGGATGCTCCTCAGACGCAGCTGGACACGACAAAGGCAGTGGAGTGGCTGCGTCGCGCAGCTGATAACAGTAACCGTGATGCTCACGTTCAGCTTGGCAACTTGTGCCTAAGCCACAGCCCACCAATGGCCATGGAGGCTAGCTCCTGGTATACTAACGTGACAAAGGACGAGAACCCACACCCTGATGCGCTGTACAACCTTGGAGTGATGTTATTCGAGGGCGTCCATCATGCGGAACCACCTTTTCCGGACAACAAGAGCGCATCGATTCCATTTTTCACCCGCGCAGCAGAGGTGGGCGATGTCTCGGCACAGTTTTTCATGGGATCGCTACTGCACCAGGGTGACAAGGACCTGGGAATCGAGCCAAACTTTACGAGCGGATTCATGCTTATTAAAATGGCAGCCAGCAAGGGCCACCCGAGTGCTTTGTTCTACTTGGCGCAGTTGTATCGCTCGGGCGACGAGGCCAATGATTTTGCTGCTAATCGTGCCAAGTTTCTTGAGCATCTGGACAAGGCTCTGAAGGCAGGGGACGCTGATGCGTATTTCTGCATGGCAGACATTCATTTTCATGGCAGTGACGGGTTCGACCAAGACTACGAGCAGGCGCGCAGATTTTATATGGCTGCAGCTGAGCAAGGACACGCAGATGCTTACTGCTGTCTTGGTGCTTTGTACTACAACGGCATTGGCGTCAAGCAGGACTTTAAAAAGGCATTCTTATACTATCAGGAGGCGGCTGACAGAGACTCCATGATGGCTTGGAAGAATCTTGCTGAAATGTACACTGTCGGTCGCGGCGCACCTCGCAACGAGGCCACTGCCAATGCCATCATCAAGATGCTCAAAAAGCGTGAGGTTGATGAGGCCACTGACTAGTGCTATTCTGCAACGAAGAGAGTGCCATTTACAAGCCTTCGGTGCACGATGAGCCGTTAGAATTGATGCGAATTGTTTTTTATTCGGACCTCGGTTGAAAGACCAATTGTCACATTTTGATTTACAGCGAAGTTGCAGCATCAACTTGAGGCGAGGCCAGTCCACACCGCAGCTGCTGCTTCGCGTGCTACAGGAATACGCTACGTGGCTTTGGTTTGTGCTGGTAGGTAGCTAGGATGCGATGAGAAGTAACGGATGACTTAAAGATTCTGACGCTTGTTGATGATTATCACTCTGTTTCAGACATCACCAAAGCCTACTATAGTATTCTAACGTTGACTTGTGAGGGTGCAGCAAGTCCGAGCAAAGGTATCGCTGCGAACTTTGAAATGAAACATAATTTTTTATGAATGATGCTGAATTACTTCGCTTCCTTTGGACGAAGAAACTTATTGCCTCTAAGATATAGGTACGATATGCTGCAATATGTCTGCTCGCGGTAGACTAAATCGACTGACCCTCTTCTGTATTAGATAGTCGCCAAGGCAAAAACATCGCGATCATCTGCAATGCATACGATAGTCACTGACTTTAACAAACGAATGGTGTTTGGATTCCAACCGCTCAATGGTTCACGCCGCGACAGGTGAGAAGGAGAAAGGTGAAGTTTAACCAATGTTTGTTGTTAGATTATCATATTACTGTTTTGGTTAATGTAGTACGCAGAGTTTCGCTACAACATCGGCGCCAGAGGTGATCACTTGAAATCGTAGGCATTGTCGTGATTGTTACGAGCAATGTATTGATGTCACACAGGAGGTTTTAGACGAGAATGGTGCCGACTTGCGATCGAACTTTCAGCCGGCTTATATGGTCTTGATGCTGTCGTTTGATCTTGCCATGATGTACAACTATACTTCTCTGCTCCGGCCAAGAATCTTAGGAACCATCGGTCCGCTTGAGATTTTCGTTAATTCTTGCTTCCGCTGGCTGAAGACTGCTTTGGTGTTGGCAACCTGAATCTTGGCTACCTCGTGGAGCTGCAATGTACTACACACTCACAATTTACAGGTAAAGCTCGCGATACCGTTTAGCCCACTCTTTTCGTCTGATGACACGGTTTAAGGCACCATTGAAGCACTTGCCGTTGGGCTAAGAACCTTAAGGACACCATTTACCATTGTCCTGCCATTGCGACTGTTCTCTTAGGACTTTTTGCCTGCAGATAATTGAAGGCTTTTTACTCGTACGAAACATCATCTTCGAACTAGCCAATTATGACATGAACCCATGAAATGCTATACTTCAGCAATCTAAGCCGCCCTAAGTAAGTGTACCGACATAGTCCCGCAACGATACAACTAGCACACGGTTGTCATATTGACGTATTCCTTTCATTTTGATGTCCACTAATTCTGCGGGGGAGATACTTTTGCAGGACTGGGGAAGAGAACTTCGGCCTGAATGGGATAGTGATCCGATGGGTAGCGGCCATTGCGATCTTCAGTGATGACTTCCGTCGTCAGCACTTTCATCTGGGGACGAAAGAAGATCCAATCAATATGGTTGGCAGCACGAACAGCATTCTTCTCGTCGTTATTCTTAACACCAGCCCAGCCATGCCACGTGTATGAAACGTCCCCAATCTGCTGCACCGCTTCTGGCCAAGCTTCATGTAGCTGTGGTCCACCCTCTTGAGTTGTTAAGTAGCTGTACAAGCTCGTGTGGCGGTAGGTGTTAAAATCGCCCGTAAGAAAGAGCGGGGCCTCGCCTGCAATTTCCTGCATTCGCTCCCACAGCAGTTTCGAGCTCATCTCACGTGACTTCATACCCTCATGATCCAATTGCGTGTTAAAGAAGAAAAGCTCCTGCTGCGTAGCACGCAAACGGAACTTGCCCCACGTCACCATACGCACACATGCGGCATCCCAACCTCGAGTTCCCGGTGTGTCTGGTTCTTTCGAAAGCCAAAAGTCGCCATTGTCCAGACGCTCGAGCACTTCTGCATCGTAAAATATCTGCTCAAACTCACCATTTTCACTGCGCTCGACACCAAAGCGTTTGTACGGGTGTTTTAACAAGCTCTAAATTAAAAAAACCACAAGAATACCATTACAACTGTACTCATTCACTCCACAACTTTTTCTTGTACCTCACCTCTAGCTCTGCTAGTTGCATCATCAATCCCTCCTGGGTGCCCATGATCACTGGATGGTAACGATTAATAATGTCTGCCACATGATCCTTACGGTATACCCAACTATTCGGTCCGTCCTCAGTGCCGGCAAATCTCAAGTTAAACGTCATAATCTTAAGACTCGTTGGTGTGGTGCTCAGCATTTCCACGCTTGTTCCGCGCATTCTCTGTCGAAACTGACTGTCCGGTAACGCAGCGGCAGCCCCCGCCTGTTGATTACTCGACATTAACTTGTCATCCCAGAGCGTCATACCGTGGAAGTTCTGATAGCCTACAAAGAACGCAAACACTACAATGGTTCCCACGAGCACGTAAAAGCGATTGATCATTGTCCTACGAGATCGTCGAGATTGCGAATGATCATTGTACGGATTACGTGGTACCGAATTAGTCGGGCCGAAGAACGAATTAAAGCCGTTCATTGCGAGAAGTGACGTAATTGTGAATCAGTAAATATCTGTCGCAATTTGATTGGACAAAACAAAATTGAGATCTTGAACCAAGTACATTGGCTAAAAGTGTCACTATATCATTTGAGTAGAAAAGTCAAGTATATAATGGCGGACGGTGCAGAGGCACTACGTGCCATGGAGTCACGGGCCATTCGTGAGGCGAAATTGGAGACGTATACAAGCAATTTGGGATCAATGGCATTTTTGCTCTCGACGATACTCTGGATGACGTTGCCGTCGCTTTGGAGCGTTGTTACTGGCGAGTGGCGTTCCGCTCTACAGCCCAGTCTGTTGGCTATTGCAGGTAATACTTTAAGTTAGTATACATATGTGTATACAAATCTGTACGAGCAGCTGATGGCATTTGTTTTTTGTATTGCAGGCCACGGACTGTTTGTATTGTCGATGCTGTTGGTATTTCGGGTGGTGCAAGTGCAGGGGGAAGAGCTGCTTATTCAATTCAATTCTAAGGTCTGGACTTGTCTAATAGTATAGAACAGGTAAGACATGTTACTGATTGGCGTAATGCATGCTGATAGTATTTGACAAGAGCAAGCAAATTGGAATCTTCGTCTGTGCCGTTGGATCGGGCTACGCAATGTACGCTGTCTTCTATGATGAAGCTAGTAGCGAGATGGCTTGCTGACTATTCTGCTGGACTGTCTTTTTCTTTAAATAAGTGGAGAAAGTGATGAAACTCGATTCATTGTGTGGTCCTTTGTCAGCCAAGAAAAAATCGTCGAAGGAAAAGGCGCAGACGCACGACGAGCGTTCGTTCTTCGACCCAGCTCCTGTAAAGACCGTCGAGGATGGCAAGGCGTACCTTCGTCGCCTTCAAAAGGCGCTAAAACTGAAAGAAGCTGAGGAATCCATACAGTCAGCCTCAGCTTACGGAATGGAGAACTCGTACCAGAGCGACGCTTTTGGCATTTACGGCAACGCGTCCATGGTGCCTCGTGTGTATCAGGCTTCGGGCTTTGATCCGTACCTTCGTGATGTTAGTATTGGAGACGAGGAAGAGGACCCACTACGAACGTCATCGCATCCGCATATTGCATGGCAGCAGCTGGAAGAGTGGGGGCTTGCCATGTTCATGCACTTGTACTGCCGTAATGTTCGCCGCTTGCTTGCTTATCACGTGAAAGATGTCGTTGAGGCATTTCTCGAGAATGCAAACGCTCTCAATGAGTGTGGCGTGATGGCGGACGTTCTCCTGCGTCGCGTGCCGTCGCAAGCGCTACTGTGCCCACCAGGACAATTAAACCAAATGACTAATGTGTCACTGTCTGATATGCTGCACAACCTTGCGAAGAGCCCTCTGTTTTTCAGCAAAGAACGAGGTGTGTTTCTGTTTGAAGAACACCAAAGTGTAAGTGTAAATTCCTGTCTTGGTATGCCTGGAGTGAATTGACTGAATAAGTCGTGCGTGTTTTACAGTTTGAAAAATATTTGAACGTTGGCGATCCTAGCAGCGCGGACTATTCATCCTTAGAACGTCAACAGTATGTTCTCGAGCGACTCATTATGCTGTCGAAAGACCGCAGCCTCGATCGTTTTCGGTGGAACAAGGGTGCTGCATGGAAAGGAAAAGAGTGGACGGAAAACTTGCCAACAGATGCTGAGATATTGATGAACACGTTTTGCTGTATGATGGACAACATGTTGCCTGCAGATAATGAGCGTGACCGGCCATTTTGGAAGTCATATTACTTCAGCAAGGGCCCTCATCGTCCCTTCACACCGCGAGTACGCAGTCGTCTCTTTCTTGTCCAGACAGTGGGACGCCCACCTCATTTCAAGGTGCTAGTGAAGGGTGCGGCTCGCGAGATCGTCCCGGTACGTCTTGTTTTCGCTGTTTTCCAGTATTCCCTGCTAATCGTATAGTTGTATTATGATGTTGTAGGGCGAGGAAAATTGCTTTCATGCTGTCGTCGTGTATCTGCACGCCATCAAAAAAATGAAGGCGGTACGTGATATTTGTGTCATTCTGGACGCCCATGCTAGCGTTTGGTAATTTACTCACGTGCAACTATTTTTAGGGCTTCCTGGAAAGCATTAACTTGCATCGTATCATCGAGCAAACCTTCGATGTTTCCAAGTAATGAACAGCAAAAATAGATGATGATGCGGCTAGATTGTTCACTTCTGTTTATACTTCAAGGACGTCTCACTGCTCAAGAATGTTCTTTGTGCAGTCTTTTTCGTGGGCTTTTAGATTTTCTCGGGTCTTGAAAGTTTTTTGACGTGTCGCTGGGCAATACGAGCACGCATATGGACGCTCGCTTTGATGACGTCGCTGCCAGTGACGCTTTAGCGTCTGCAGGTTCTTCAAGCTTTTACCTGTCGATTCAGCGTATTCACATTGCTCCTCAGGGCAATATTTGGGTCCCACAGGAAGCGGAGCCTGCTTCCCAGTTACTTCTGCCATTGGCGCCGCTGGATGCTGCTTTCCGTGAAAAGTGAGCTGATAAAAATTAGAGAAGCGGTTGTTGCAGATGCAGCATACAAACGGTTTACAGCCGTCTTGCAGCATTTCAACTGGAGCTGTCAGTGCGGGCTGATTACTGACAGCTACTTCAGTTTGAACAGGCGTTGCAGCAGATTCAATGGAAATTTGCCCACGCAATCGCAATATCTCAGCCTTCAACTGTTCAATCTGATTCTGCTGCGCTCGAATCGTGTCCCAAAAGTATATGCTGCCATCGTGCGGTGGAATGCCAATACTCTGAGAGCTATTTTCACTTGTTTCCTCTTCCATACTTTGTGGTTGGTCGATAACAGTTTCAACCGATCCAGAAGGTGCTAAGGAGGTAAATACAGCAGCACGGTGAGTGGCGTGAACCTTCAGGTGGGCCACTAACAGTTCACGCACACAAAAATGTTTTCCGCATTCTGAACACACATACCGCGACGTATGCGAGTTTCGCACTTGTACAGAATCGGTATCGATCTCTACGTGTATACTGCCGTTTAAACCTTGTTCTGCAGTGAAAAAGGGGGCGTGTGTAGTACGGTGGAACCGCATTGCTGCCCGAGATGAGTAACGCTTGGTACAGCCGGGATGAACGCAGACATACGGTTTCTCGCCTGTGTGCACACGAATATGCTCCTGCAACGTCGACGCCCGTGCGAACAATTTTTGGCAGATTGAACAGCTCAGCTTTTTTTCACCCGTGTGTACAACCGTATGGTCTCTCAAGTGAGCGCTGTCCGCAAACGACTTGTCACATCCAGGATGCATGCACAAAAAGTTGCGCATTCGCATCGCACCTATAATCCTTTTGCGCTTTCTAGTCGGTGTGGCTGAGATAGAGTTTGCAATCACCACCGGGGCTGGTGGCGATGGGATCGCCAAAGGACGTGCCAACGGTAACGGTAAAGCGGCCATTGTAGTACTCATCGTCATGGGAATGCCACCGATACTTCTCTCTAATGCTGTAACATTGCTCCATACCCCAGGACTGCGACATATGCCTGTCAGCTCCGTCTCGTGTCTCCGCGCAGTCTCCGGCACCGTTGTTTTCGTCGACGTATCAGCACTGTAGCCATTGCTGTAGTGGTAAAAGTGACTTCCTTCTTCATTTCCAACAACTTCAGCACTTGAACTTCCCGTTCCAGCAGTCGGACTAGTAAGCAACATACCAAGTGGTGGTGGCGGATGATGTATGGTCGCTGTCAAGTTTCGGGGCGTCAATGGAGACGCTGACCATCGCGGTAACGGCACCGACTGTAGACTTGCACTCCCTATCGTAGGCGACGATGCAGGAGTCGCTCCAGCCACAAGATGTAAAGCATTTGATGGATTTGAATAAGCTTTAGTAAACTCCACCTCTACAGTCGACACACAATACAATTATAGGTTATTTTTCAGTGTGAGAGCTCATTGCGATGGCGATAATGTGCGTCACCTTCATGGGGAAAAGACGCCAGCCCCGGGTTTGCGGAAAGGGCGCGATCGCGAGCGCTAGAAGCTGCAAAGAGTCTGGCAGGACCTCGAGAAGATAAGGAAATTGAGGGTTCGACTGTAGCTGCTTGTATAGTGAGACTAGTATCGTGTAGTGGTCTCTCCATGATTCAATACAATTACAGATGATAACACGGAAGACTAGTTGATTATTTGTTCGATACAGTCAATGGCTCTCTCTCTCTATATACAATATCGACTAGTTGATGAAGCCTTCGAAAGGAAGAACGTCTTTTTTAAAGAAGAGGCGATGCAGCGCTGGCAGTTATTGCATTATCAATGTTTTGATGACAAGATCATCAAGCAAGCGAAGGAAAAGAACGCAAGCTTCCAGACGCTTGCTAAAGAGTAGGAGGAACCGTTCATTCCAAAAATGATCAAGCTTTAGGTGAAGCTCCCAGTTGCCATGCCTAGTAGAGTCGATGAACATGTGCCCAAGGAGATTAATTTGGTAAAAAGGGTTTGTGTGTACGAGGTGACGCATAGCTCCGGAGTGTACTTTAGTTCCCAACGGAACCGCCCCGCTTCACTCTGGCCGGTGGACTGATTGGGGCTCAATTGTTGCTACTAATACGATGTGCGTTGCTGAAATGAATCTTGAAACGTGTTGATTTGGTCCTCACGAATGCACTAAAAGTCAAGCTCCTTGAGGCCCAACCACTTGGTCATGTACAGGCACGAGCGGGGTGAAATGATGTTGCCTTCCTGACATTGATCAAAAACCTGAAGAATGCCAAAAAGCAGTAGGTTCAGGTCAAAAGTGGGGAATCATGGCTGTTATAAGTTCTGACGCACCGGACACACGCCACATGGAGTCTCGGACAAGTAGTTGAAGGTCGTGATCTGTTGCGAGATCTTGTACTTGGTCTCGTGAGATGTCTGATAGAACCAGCAAAACGTGCGGCCGAGACAGCACTGCTGTTAGCCATATGAAGGCCGACAGGCAAAAAAAATGGGGTTGCTACGTACACCAGGCGTGAGACGCACGGAGCGAACTTCCTCGACACGACCATCGTACATGAGTGTTTGAATGATAGAGCTGATTTCTTCTGGACCCAGTGCCACCTTGGAAATACCCGAGGCATGCACTTTGTCTGTGATTGCGTTCAACGTACTCATTCCCGAAGCCTTGATCACTTCGTACACGAACGTGCTGAGCGTGTCAATAAATACGTGGTCAAACTCCTGCTCATTGTACCATGGACCACCTGTAATCTCTGTAGAAGGCACTACAGCAGACAACAAGTAACAATAATCACAATATTGCGATGTTAATCACTCATACATTCCATCTCACAATCTTTACACAGCGAAGTCTCACCCAGATCAAAAAGCATGTACAGCTTCTTGTTCTTGCTGCTTATGGACTTGACCGACTTGACAAGACGTCGCGTCTCTAGCAATCGCAACGTCTTGGTCACAATTTGCTACACAATTAGACCAACAACATCCTGCCGTCAGTTTTAATCCTCATCCTCATCCCCATTCATCAACCAATGAGCTAGTAAACAAAACCTGTGGAATGTTTGTATGTGATTTAATATCCCGCGTCCAAATGCCCTTGTTACCTGCACGCTCAATCTCCTGCAACACTAGACGCTGTTCCAATCTGCAGGATTTCAAGCCAAAACCCCATGTAAATTTCAACTTCCAGAGCTCCAAATCGCTCCAAAATTTCTCCTATCAAACGTACGTGAGTCCACGAATACGTTCTGCCTCTTCTGCATTCACAATTCCATACGAAAGCACGTTTCCTTTCTTAAAAATCTTGATTTTGCCCTCACCCAGCAGTGCATTAATCACATCCGGCAATTCCTCGTAGCCACCGCCACTTCCTTCTGCCTGGAAATACTCGCGTACTTCTGCATCGGTCACAGACTCACGAAAATTGCGGAGCAGACCGAGAAATCGCGTCATGACGCTGGGCGCACCGCCCTTGGACGTCGAGATAGTTGCCATAGCGCGAGAAAGAATGGTGCAAAGAAATACGATACATGATTGGTTGAAAATTAGAATACCGTTTCACTATTGGTTAATAACATGCATCGCATGCTCGCCAACCAGTTGAATCCACTTGAGCTCTTGGTCCTATTCCGTAGACGTTAATGAAGTTCGCCTACCAATTTCAGCATTTATGTGGCAGTGTTTACTCGCAGGGGAATGTAATCTTTACACCTGATGGAAATTCAGTACTTAGTCCTGTTGGTAATCGCATTACTCAATTTGATCTCCTCAAGTACGTCATGTCTAGTGAGTCTTTATAATAAGGTCACACAACCAAGTGCATACTAATTGGAAGTTGTTCTTTATTGTAGTAATACGTCCCGAACTTTTGCCTTTGAAGCGCGCAAGAATGTCGAATGTATTGCTGTATCCCATAACTCGAGGCTACTGCTTGCTGTGGATGAAGATGGTCGTTGTCTGCTGGTCAATTTGAAGCGTGGTGCTGTGCTTTATCGTTTCCACTTCAAGCAGCCGGTACGAGCATTAAACTTTAGTCCAGACGATCGCTATATTGCGGTCGCCATTGGCAGTAAAGTGCAATTATGGCGCACGCCAGGACTCGTGCGTGAGTTTGCACCTTTTGTGCTGCATCGCACGTATACTGGTCACTATGCCGACGTCGTGAGTGTGTCGTGGTCACATGATGCCTTGTTTTTTGTCACGGGAGCAGAGGATTTGTCGGCTCGAGTATTTTCGGTGGATCCGTACCCGGGATTTAAGCCATTGACGCTGTCTGGGCACCGCGATGTGGTGGTGGGTGCGTACTTTGCGCGTGATGACAGATCGATTTTCACGGTTGGACGAGATGGTGGCGCATTCGAGTGGAAATACAAACTTCCTGATGTTGAGATGGTTGAACGAACCTCTGATGAGAGCGAGAAAGAAGACAGCGAGGCTGAGGCTGGAGAAGAAGCAGACGTGAAAGAAAGTGAGGGTAGCAATAATGAAAGCGAAAGTGATGATAACGCGACGGACAAGAAGCGGAAACGTAAAGTGCTGAAGGAGCAAAAGAAAGCTGTTCCGGACATTGTGCGAGCCATCAAATGGTACACTTGCCAAAAGCACGTGCTCAAAATGGACTTTGCCAAGGTTTTGTGTTGCACGTACCACTCCTCGACAGGCATGCTAGTGGTGGGCTTTGGTAACGGTACGTTCGGTTTGTACGAACTACCCGCGTTTGTGAATATTCACACACTGAGTGTCACGCAGAACCAACTGGAAACGGTGGCAGTGAATGCTACCGGCGAGTGGCTGGCCTTTGCATCGCGCAAGCTTGGCCAGTTGCTGGTATGGGAGTGGCGCTCTGAGACGTATGTGCTTAAGCAACAGGGACATTATTTCGACCTCAATGCAGCTAGCTACTCGCCCGACGGGCGGCTGCTGGCATCAGGTGCTGACGATGCTAAACTCAAGCTTTGGGATACAAACAGCGGATTTTGCTACGTTACCTTCACAGAGCACTCCGCTCCTGTTACAGCTGTGCAGTTCACTCCCTCTGGGCAAGCTGTTTTAAGTGCGTCATTAGATGGCACTGTTCGTGCGTTTGATTTGAACCGGTACAAGAACTTTCGCGTCCTCACAACACCAGAGCCCACACAGTTTCTGTCCCTTGCGCTTGACCCCAGTGGACAGGTTGTGTGTGCTGGATCGATGGACCCGTTTAACGTGTACGTTTGGTCGCTGCAGACTGGACGTCTCACGGATGTCCTCAGCGGTCATAGCGGACCCGTGACGTCGCTTTCATTTTCACCTTCGGCCTCCGCTGAGCCTATTCTCGCATCGGCTTCGTGGGATCATACAGTGCGCCTTTGGAACCTGTTTGCTAGCAAGAAAAGCTTCATCGAGCCCCTTGCTCACCCGACGGACGTGCTGGCTGTGGCATTCCATCCGGATGGCAAGCAGCTTGCTTCCACGACGCTAAATGGTGCAATTAACATCTGGGACGTGAAGGAAGGTGAACAAATTGGCACGATTGACGGGATGCGCGATATTGCAGGTGGTCGCAAGGATGGTGACCACATCACGGCTGCTAACAACCAGCTTACTAAGCATTTCACAAGCGTTTGTTACTCGGCTGACGGTTCGCTTCTTCTTGCCGGTGGACGCTCCAAGTTCGTTTGTATCTACGCCGTGGAGCCCCAAATTTTGCTAAAAAAATTCCAGATCTCACACAATTTGTCCCTAGACGGCATCCTGGAAAAGCTTAACACTAAGAACATTACAGAGAGCGGTCTCAGCAAGAATGAGCTAGACGCTCATCTAGATGATTCAGAGGCTTCAGGCCGCAACGGTGGTGCTGACCTTGTGGGTGCTAAGCGTGCTGTTGATCCGGGAAGCCGCCGCAAGAATATGGAGGTGCTGTCGAAGGCTGTACTCTTTTCCCCCACCGGTCGAGCTTGGGCTGCCGCGACCACGGAAGGCCTGCTTATCTATGGTCTAGACGAGAGTCTGGCCTTTGACCCGTTTGAGCTAGACGAGGATATTACTCCCGAAACTATCACGCGGACGCTGGCGCGGCGCGAATACGCTCGCGCCTTGGTGATGGCGTTGCACCTAAATGAGGAGCCGCTCATCGCTCGATGTGTAGAGGGTGTTCCGCTCGCTAGTATTTCGCTTGTGGCACAGACGCTGCGTGGCGAGATGTACCTGCAACGGCTGCTGCAGCTGCTGGCCAAGCGTATGGAAAGCAGCCCGCACCTTGAGTTCTACCTTCAATGGAGTCTAGCTGTGCTTAATACGCATGGCCAGACCCTGCGTGACGATCCATCCAGTAGCGCTACGTGCCTGCCTACCCTTCGTTCACTGCAGAAAAGTATTGCGCGTCATTTGCAGGACCTTGCCAAGATGTACGTTTATCTGTTGTTGTTCGACAAGTCTAGATGTCAGTGACTGTGGCTGACATGTTAACCTGATTTTTGTTGTGTATGCAGTTGCGATGATAACCAGTTTACGCTCAGCTACCTCAAAACCCTCAGCAAAATGCAGCAAACCCAATAGATAGATTGAGACGGCAGTGTGCCGAAAGAATCGCTGGCATTCTTTTAGTTGTTGAAGGCACTCTTGCTTGCTGGTGGAATGGCTTGGACCATAGTAATAAATAGACTCATTGTGTGTTACTCAATGGTGCTCGAGTTCGACAGAGCATGTTGTGCTCTATTGTGCCCGCCTCAACTTTCAGGCGCGTGGTTTGTACCGTTGGTCTGGCCATCACTATTGCTAGCGCCATCTGCCTCGATGGTAGAAGGGGTCCACATCTTAATGTCCCGATTCGATCCCGAGACTACCAGCGCACGTGCTGGATGGGCCGCGAGGGCAAGTACAGGATGGTCATGCCCGGTCAAGACCGAGCACACTTCCTGCATCCCCACATCCCACATGAAAATGCGATTATCTTCCGATCCGCAGGCAACGACAGGCTGCTTGTTCCATTGCTGCTCCAAAAAAGCGCACTGCATGCTAAATTTTCTGTTGCTATGGCCTCTGTACGAGCGCACGCAGATATCGCGCATGTAGTCCCACAAACGCACAGTTCCGTCAAGTGATGAACTCAGTACGTATCCTCCGTTGGGTGCAAACGTCGCACTTCCAACAGGCGCTGCTGGTTCGGTAATGATTGAGCGCATGCACTGACGAGAAGCCACATCCCATACACGGACAAAGCCATCATATCCGGCAGTGACCAGCAGCGAGCCGTCCGTGGGGTGGAACTGCACGCTCACTACCGGTTCCTGATGCGCATTCACAATTGCAACGGTCCTGCCACTGCGTACATCCCACAACCTCACACTTTCATCATGTGAGCCTGTAGCCACGAGAGACCCCTGCGGATTAAAGGCCACGCAGCTCACAAACCCCGTATGCGACTCGACAGGTGGATCCGACGTCATTAATGTATCGTTCATGCCATCTTCATCTAGTCCCAACGTAGCAGATGAGCCCTTCAGCAGCGATAATGGAGTGGTAAGAGTCGCGTCCAGACTTTTGTGTGTCGCACCTAATGTAGCAAGTGTCTTGGCCGTCTCAACGTCCCAGAGCCGCGCCGTCCGGTCGTCCGAAGCTGACGCCAAGTGCCGTGAATCAGGCGACCAGCAAGCGGCTGACACACCAGCTTCATGTCCATATAAAGTTGTCTTTGATCGAGTCTCGAGCTCATTCCTGTCGGCTGCTAATCGCCAGATTTTGACAGAAGAATCGGCCGCTGTCAAGAATATTAGGACAAAAATAAATGCAAATTGTCAATATTGCAAGAAGAGAGCGGAGAAAAATAGAAATAAAGAGAATATCTTACAAGATGAAGCGAGAAAAGATTTATTAGAGGAGAATGAAAGACTAGAAATAGGCTTGACATGCGCAGATAGCGTCTGGTGTACGCGCCATTCTGATCCCATTCCTAGACTGTATATATTCGTCTCGAGAGGTAAAATTAATTCACATACCTTATACAAAATTACAGAAGAACTTGTTTATGGTGATACCTTTGGGACCGAAATCGGTATCAGTTACGACAGTATTACCTGAGTATAAATGTTATTTTTCAATTTAGAGAAGTTATCAGTTAAAGCGGGATCAGATACGGCAAGTTATTCTGTCAGACATTCGAGAATGTCAATAATACTTTAACAATGTCGGAGTCAAAATTACGGTTCGAGGTGCTCGAAGAGGAGACGCACTACCCCGTGACTAAACAAAAGAGTGTTGGCAAGCAGGAGGAAAATGAGCAACGAGATACTAATGAAGAAACGACGGAAGAGACACTGGAGCAGCAGCTGGAGCGACTCGTGCTCAGCGTCAAGAACGACAGCGACGTCGAACAAGACACTGTCAAAAATACCCTTGAAAATGTCAAAAATGCATCAGCAGCCAAAGAACTTGGCAACAAGTAAGTGGCATTATTGACGAGTGTCAAAAATGTTTAATTTTAACAACAGTGAAAATGGTGCTGCTATAGATTTTTTTCTCAAGGCAGCTATTTGGACGCTATAGAGTGCTACACTACGGCACTAAAGCTCTGCCCTGCAGAGGAAGAGTACGCCTACAGCAGAGTATGTTGAAGTAACTAATAATCGTTTGTATCAGCCAATTAACACTCTAGTATCATTGCAGGCAGTGTACTTTAGCAACAGAGCAGCGTGTCTGCTACGGCTTGGAAGGACAGAGGAGTCGGTCGATGAGTGCACACAGGCCGTAACGCTGTCGCCTACGTACGTCAAGGCACTTTTGCGCCGAGCAGAGGCATTTGAGAAGCTGGACAAACTCGAGGAAGCAGTAGCGGACTTTGACGCTGTGTTGAAGATCGACCCGACGGTGCGCACGGCTGCACAAGGCCGCGAACGTTTGCAGAAGATTGTGCATGAACGCCAGGAGAAGATGAAGGCGGAGATGATGGACAAACTTAAAGGGTTTGGCAACACTATCTTGGGCAAGTTTGGACTCAGCACTGACAATTTCCAGATGGTGCAGGACCCCACGACGGGATCGTACAGCATCAACTTCCAGCAAAATACGGGGGAGTCAGGTCAGCAAAAGCCATCGCAACAGCAACACAAGTAGAACAACTGATGCAAGCAACATACTAGCAGCGAAATAAGCTTCGGCGTGTGTTAACGCAGCTTTTGGAGTATTGCAGTTGCAACCAGTTGTTCAGTGGCATACGCCGCAGCTTCATTTTTTCTTCCCAGCTTCATTTCTTCTACATTCATCTTGCTATGCCTCTTTTTTATTGTTGACTACCACCATTTGTGAAGCTTATATGATAGGTGTCAGACTCTGACCGAAGCGGTGAGGGCAAGGCTACGTCAGAGTCCGATGAAAAAAGGTTATTCGGTTGGCTCCAACGTGGACGACAATCTGCGTCTGGTAGAATTTGTTATGTCACAGACGACGACGTGGTGCATCCTGCTCGCTGGAAGAAGAGCAATGAATACGATTTATTGGACTGGTGGAGTTATGCTGCTGTTATCATCTATACCTATGTTAACCCTGTGATGGCGATAACTCCCGAAATTGTTGCCAAGGGAGAAGACATTGCTAGTAGAAAGGGAGCTATAACGACATCTGATGGTAGTACAGGTAGCCATGTAAAATTGCGCTTTTTAGAGAAGCTGCACCCGCACGAAGACGTCTACTAGGTCACGCAAGTAAGCGCTATCGGTCGATGAATTTACAATGAGTCAAGTCGAACTAATTTTATGATATTTGGGTTGTTGTATGTTTGTCTTCGGTGGCCAAGATCGCAGACAACACAACAACGGGATCTGCATCAATTGGATCTGGAGTCGAGCACGTGGTCACAAGTGCAGACGTGTGCGGTGCTTTCGTCGAGACGTTCTGACATCATGCGAGTTATATACTCATCCTCGGTGGCAATGACGGTCGCGGGGGCAATTAACTTAATGATGGTATTCCTTCAACATTGATTATCAACGATGGAGCCAAATGCCCAGCGTAGCGGAGGACAAACCTGAAGCCTGCACCGTTCATACTAACTCGTCCAGTACTTATGTCTTTGTTGGTCGAGTCGATATGACAAGCGCTGGACTCAATTGGAGGCCTCTGGTCCTGCAGCGGGGTGCACAACTGAGTGTAACGGGGTTACACGACGGTTATAGACTTTTTCACGTGAAGAGCAGAAGAGGAACCATTGTCAGCGATAGATAACCATGGATATTGCATAAAGTATCGGTAATACCGTCTAAAATTATTTATATTAAGAATATTTTTTAGGGAGTTGTTATTTTTACTACCTTTTGGTTAAATCCGCTACATTTTTTTAGCCACCGCTAAATTATAATATTCTAAATTATAGCCTTCACTTGCAACGTAATAATGCTACCCCCTCCTAAAGTAGAATACACCACCCGTGAGGAATTGTAAAAAGCTGTGCAGGAGTTTTCTTGCAGCCATGGCTATGCTGTCACTATATTGCGTTAGTTGCTGGAAGGCAGTTTATCTCAAATGTGATTGCGATGGCCTTCACGTGTCATCGGTAGAAGCAAACGAACGCAAACGTCCGACAACAACCCGGCTTCATGAATGTCTATTCTTACTCAATGAAAAAACTCTTTAAAAGTCAGGGAAATGGGCTCTGAAAATTATAAATTCACAACACAATCATGGAACCTCCTCTCATCCATCTGGTCACTCATCACACAGAAAGCTAAAGCTCGGTGAGGCAAAGGATGTAAATAATATGACTCTTGCTGGCTTAAAATTACTGTGAATTCTTTTAACACTACGCGAGACAAATGATGGATTACTTGCTGGCTTCTACATGAACGGCTAAAGTGCGAATGGAGATGTTAGCAGGCAGGATACCGATGAAAAATTGTACTTATGTGCTTTACGATTCAGACAGTAAGGGAAGGTTCACTACTTTATTTTTTGCCCGCAAAGCAAGCATCAAACTTGCTCAACACTACCACCATGTAACTCTCATGGATTGCACCTAAATAGCGCATTCCATTACTGTATGTTGTTGGCATGACCAGCTTCAACTCTCAATATACAATCGGCTTTATCTTTCTCAAAGAAGAAAAGAAAAGGATTACATATAGGCCTTGACTAAATTTACCACCATATGGACACGCACATCTTCACCAAGGGTTATTGTGACAGACTGTGAATTGGCACTCATGGCACCCATTTACACGATATTCCCAAAATCCGTGAACCTTTTGTGCATATGGCACATCAACAAAAACCTTGTGGCAAAGTGTAAAAAATCCTTTCCGACAGGCGAACCATAAGATGATTTTTAAGGAGATGGCAAGCCCTTGTGGCCTCAAAATTCGAAGAGATTTATCAATCACAATTGGATAAACTCTCGATCTTCCTTTTGCCTTTTCCTGAAGTTTTGAGGTACATCACCAAAACATGGCTCATTTACAAAGAGCAGTTTGTAGATGCCTGGATTTCAAAGAATCTGCATTTCGGCAACAAAGCCACATTAAAGGTTGAAGGTAATGAGATTGGAATAGAGGTTGGGTTGCGAGATACAAGAGATACAAGACTAAATGAGAGAGCTTGACAAAAGTTTTCTTCTATTGTTATTGAAGGAGCTCACGCATACATCAAGAAATTTCTCCAAGTGTTAACTGGAGATCTTCTCTCTGTTTTCAACAAGCTTACACATGCTTTGGAACATCAGGTTTGTTAAACGCTAATATTAAAAACAGAAGCCTTGATATTATTTATTTGCATTGACGATAAGATGGTGTTATCATTTTTTGTGGTGATGAAATATTTTTCTAATATGATATTTTTCCATATTATCTAAATTTATACATTTCCTGATCTAAAAACAGGTGAAGCGCAGAGGAAACCCCTTGTAGTGAGGTAAAAATGCACCATTTTCTTGAGTTGCCTTCAATGTTGAAAGCAGTTTCAAAAAAGAAATCAAAATTTGCTCTGAAAAGATGTCTGGTGATATTTGAAAAGTTGAAGGAAAATCATGAGCAATGCACCGGCATTCTATCATCTACTATGGGTATCCCTTGTATGCGCAGGCTTCAGGAATTGATGAATGAAAGGTATGTCAGCCCAAATCGAACCAACGTTTCTACAATTTTGTTTTTTTTAATTGATTTAAACACTTTTTTCCAATTTTCTATGGATGTACCTACAGGATGCTAACCAAAGATGATTTTCATGAACAATGGCATCTTGTGTGGAAAGCAAATCCCGAAAGTTATCTCTCTCATAAAGATTTGGACATTGATATTACAAAGCAATGAGAGGTCATTAGCCAGCGCCTCATTGCCAAGAGCAGAAAAATCGAGACAATCACACAAACTACTCAGCTTTTAAATAGGCAAAGAAAAATAGTGGAGCCGAAACCTCCAGCCATAAATTTGGATACCCGTGGTCGCCCAAGTGGTGCCAAAAATAAACCAAAGAACACCACCTAGCGCGACCCATCCGAAAGTGAGTACCTAGATACCAAAAGGCGAAAATGTGGTACATGTGGAAAGGTTGGGCACAATAAGCGTACGTGCCAACCACCAATGTCAGCAAATGTATGATACATCCAATTATTGCTGCGAATTTTTCTTCTCGTAACATTTCAATAATAAACTGACGAAATTGCATAAAGGAACCTTATGGATCTAGTCACACATTCCTTCCAACATTCAGTTCTCCCAACGATAATATACCTATTTGCTTTGCATTCGTAGATGGAAACCACTTTATAGCTTTAAAACTTAAACACAATGCCCCTGCAGCACCAGTTGTTGGTTATTGGGAAAGGTTTGCCACAACGCAGGCCCAATAATGGTTCAGCTCAGTGCAAAGTCACATCGCTAATAGAATAAAACTATGCCAGCTACACCAAAAGACACCATGAATAATAGTAATACCTTAGGAATTCAAACGATAAAAAAGATCAGGTTTATAGTTAGTAAACATAGCAAGTACGTGGGCTCCTGTGGCTGGTAGAAAAGGTTATAGAAGTAATTGTGTTTTACTTACGTCGCAAGTGAAGGGTGGAGAGTGGGGGAGAAAGTTTAGCGTTTAGATCGTTCACTGTCTTACGTTGGCTATAATTTAAAATAATATTATTTAGCGGTGGCATTAGAAAGATAGTGGATTTAACCAAAAGGTAGTGAGTATAACAACTCCCTATATTTATTGACACTTGATATAAGTGTCAATAGTATGTAATGGACTCATTCCGTTACATCACTCCCCTTCCTCAACCAACAGTCACATTAGTGACTGTTCAGAGACTATAAGAAGGGGTGCATTTGTTGGTTTGTCTTTGATTCCGACAACCCTTCGAACATGACGAAGGCAATGCGGATTACCGCGAAAGCGGCAGAGAACTCGGCTTCATGCGTGCGTGCAGCCTCTTTTGATCAACATTAGCCTGCAACGCCTGTTGCAAGTTCACGTGGCTTAATGTCTCGTGAAGATGTTAATACAAAGTTAAAGGATATCTCATATGGTGAGTCGGATAAAGCATCCGACTCAAAGCATGCTATTTTTACGTCATTGACGCCAGCGCGATAATACCTTCGCCCTGTGAATGATGTTTACATCGATGCATTTCTAAAGCATTGATGGTGCAGCGCTAATATATATATATATATATTATCAATTAATAGCTGGTACGCCATAAGCGTGACGCTGAGGCGTTCCTTCAGGCTTGTAAACGCGTTCATTGCCAGCGTCAATAAAGTTGGACGTGATGCCTGTCTTCAAAAACTTATTGCTAATTGCAATAATTTTAAAAGACAAACATGACCAGTTCTATCTTTCGCATGCATCGGTTGTCAGGAGAGGCTGGATTGACATGCCCCTCTTGAGGCGACCCTTGCCTGAGTTGCAGAGGCAAGCCGATTAAAGTGCCAAATGGGATTACCTCCTTACTGAGCCCTGGTGGAGGACTTGAATCTCTCTGAGAAGCGCGAAGGAATTGCTACAATGCAATCTTCTTACAAGCGCGCTGGGCACTTGTTTTACGATGGCCCTTCTTAGTCATTGAATGACCCTCGTCGTACTGCTCGACGAGGCCAAGAACGTCTGACATTAACTAGGCACAAGGTTTCCAG